CACCAAGTCAAAATCAAACAAATCATATTACAATTTAGCATGAATTGTGAGCCCAATCATTGGGCTGTTGGGATAATAGTAACTGAGACAGGATTAGCTACTGCTGTTGTATTTTTGCTCCTTTTTTCCTCAGCCCCTTAGGCTGTCTTTTCCTTTAGGAAGGCAAAGAAGCTGATGTAAAGGAGGAGCTGCCACAAGTCAAATACCTATTATTTATTTTTCCTAATATTTTGTTCCAGGAGAAAAAGGAGAGAGCCAGTGGGCCATTACTGCTCCTCTTCTCCAACCCAACTATATGCCCTTCCTTTCTGGTAGCAAGAAAGACAAAGATAAGAATTACCAATGCTAAGAGGGAACCAGATAAAGATTCATTATCCATGGCACATCCAAATCTTAGGCCTTGCTCTGGGACTGTTTCTCACCTGTGGGCTCCACAGGATGGGAATCTGCATTTGATCCCTCCCAGTTTTCTTGATTTGAATTCTCTTCAGAATCTATGACTTTGGGGGTGGTTGTTTCCATGTGCTCTTCAGGTTGTAATTTTTGTGTGGTTATTGGCAGTTCCATCTCTTTTGTAACATCCAAACTCTTTGAGAATTGGAACAATTCATTTGTCATATAATCAGATGGTTTCTTAACTTTTTCAGGTGCCTGAACCCATGTGGCAGTGGTAATATATTGACTTCCAGTGAAGACGCCATTGAATTCTATGTTCTTTGTGGTTGGAGACACTTCAGTGTTGCTATCCCAATAGATGGGAGGCACCATCTCAGTAGCAGAGTGAATGGATTGTGCAAATGGGGGTGGTTCTGCTCCTGATGGCCTTTCTAACTCAATGTCTCTGTCAGATTCAATATCCCACATGGATAATGGTTTAAATTCTATGGATGAGGAAATGGGCATTTCCCCCCATTTTTGAAGTGGTGACCTGATCTTTGAAGAAATGGTTGATTCCATCTCCTGAACATGCTGTGGGTTCTCTGAATTGGATATTGTTTTATCTATGAGTCCAGGAGTTGTTGACTTCATTTCTCTTTTAGATTCTGCATGCCATATGATAGAGGTTGGCTGAAAATTTTCTGAGGAAGAGATCGACTCTTTTTTCCATTTGAGCGGAACCATTCTTGCTTTAGGGAAGTTGGTTGACTCTTTTTCCTGCACATACTGCAATATTTTTGGACTAGGCTTTGCTTCAGCAATTTCTGAAGGATTTATTGGCTTTGACTTCTTTTCCAGTTCAGTTTTCATACTTGGTGTGGTTAGGAAAGGATCGTTGGTGTACCATTGATTGAGAGACTTTATCTCTGACTCATCTGGAAATTCCTGAATATTTGTGGTGGTCTCTGCTACATTCATCACATTTTGCAGCTCTGAATTGTTTGGAGATCCTAGGTCTTGTGTGGCAGAGATTGGTTCAGTTGCCTTTGAATTACCAGATGGCTTTTGGAATAACAGACGTTTCCACCTGCCTAAAATCAGAAAAGTTTTACTAGTGTCATAGATTTACCTGTACCCAACATGAAACTTTCAGCTATTTTATCTTCAAGAACTTTGCACTTTTGTATGTGTATGCATGTATGTATATAAGTATGTGTAAGTATGTATGTGTATGTGTATGCATGTGTATGCATGTGTGTGTGTGTGTGTGTGTGTGTGTATTCCTCTGAAATTCAGATTGGAACAATCAATTGCTGTTCTTTTCCCAGAATATTAACTAATTCTTGTCATTCTCAGAAACCAGGCAAATGTTATCATTAAACATGCCTGGATAGAAATAGGAAAGTTCCTCACCTGTGCAGATGACTGAAGCATCTTCATGATGGTTGCAGTTATGCTTCCCCCAAGGCTGAGAACGACAGCGCTGTATAGTAAACTCTCTCCCAGTGCAGTTGACATCATCCAACCAGATAGGTCCAGATCCTGGTCCATACCGAGCATTGCCAGGACTGAGAAGTGGAGCTCCACAGCCCAACTCACGGCACACAACAGCTGCATCCACCAAGTCCCAGCCATCATCACACACACTGCCCCACTGGCCTTTGTACAACACCTCCACCCGTCCAGCACAGGATTCAGGGCCATCTACAAGCCGCAGCTGCTGCTGGCCTGAGATACAGAGAGTAGAAAATGTTAAACAGAATTAAAGATCTTCCATCACAGAACTTTTGTCCTGGAGAACAGGATTTCCCATTGGTGTCTTTACTTATATCAGAAAAACTATGTAGTATTTCCAGATAGTTTGAAGCAATGGGAAAAAGAACCAGCTTGGTTCAGGGAGGAAGGATAGATAGAAATTTGGAGAAAAATTTCCATATCTTTGCATACTTTATTTACTATGCCTTGGATATAAATTATTTATGATTGTTGCAGCCAATGTCCACCCACTCCCACTGCTCTGAAGCCTAGTGGATCAAACATAATGAGGAAACATGCCCACATCTTGCTTCATATCTCTAATAAGAGGTCTCTGTTCTTCAGACATACAGTACAAGCATACTTGGTTGGAACCATTATATGAAATCTGAATACCATGCTATTTCAATTCATGTTTTCTGGAGTAGTTGAGATTAACATTTTGTGGGTATTTAGGAACAAACTAAATGTGACATGATAGAGCCATCACTGGCTCTCCTATAGAGATATCCAAACTGTTCCATGCATGATCTGTTCCCTGTTTCCTATGGGATAATTTAAAAATTCAAAATTTCCCAAGAAAATTGATAGCCTCTCCTCACCAGCCAGAGACAGATGTAGACAGGTTAGGAATACAGTGCAAACTTTCTGGTATCCATGAAGACTTTGGGCTTGAATTATTGGAGGAACAGAGAAGGCACATTGTGCTTTCCTTTTACTCTAGTTTTCCTTAACTACAAAGACTTACCTGGAACACTAACAGTAGTGCAGGACTGGCCAATGTGTTTCAACAGTATGGTGGACTTTCATTTCAAATGTGAATAGGAACTCAGTGCTTTTCCAGATAGGGCAGCAGTTCACTAAATGGAGTACAATGATACCTACCCATGTTACAAAGCTACTGTCACTGAGCACTACCTACTGCTTCACTGTACTATTTTGGGTAGATGGGGTTTCTCTTGCCCCAAATTGTCTGGCTAAAGCAAGTGCTTGCCAGGACCTGGCATGATTGCACAAACTTTATGACAGTGTTGTGGACATTTGCAGGGGTGGGGTGGGGGAAATGGGCTCTCCTCTGTATGTTTAATGGCTCTACATCCCCATCTGAGAGAGCCCTCAGTTTAAATACTCTTTCTAAATTGGTGCATGTGAGGAAGCATGTGAAATGCATTGTATTATAATATTTAAGCCAATTTCTCTCACCTTTTGCTTTAACAGTTATTAACATGGATACTTCCATGTACAGAACAAAAACTGCTCCTGGATGATTTACTGCATTCTTTCCTGACTTGGTGTCCTCCAATAGGCTAACTTGGCAGAATTTCCAACTAGCATAGCCGAAGGCCCTACGTTTCTACATATCACTAGGTTGGAGAAGGCTGGCCTGGGTTTTCATGATGGAAGCAGTCAACCATTTCTCCTTCCTACTCACCACTTTCTGAAAGACCTCCTTTGGGAATATTCTCTGTGTGTTCTTGACTAGTCACAGTTTCTTCCTGGTTTCTTGTAAGCTGAATAGGATGTGGAATGTTCTTTGGTGCCACAGACCAGGATCTTTGAGGAGCTAAGGTCCTTGTAAGCATGGCTGTATGCTCTTCTATCATGGCAAGGGGCATCTCACCTGTTGGGAAAAAAAGTCAATAGGTGACAGAGCTTTTGTTGCAATAGTAATTCCACAATCATTTAAAGCAAAAATAGTCTTATATAAACTTATTGCTTTTGTAGGGGATGAATATACAGGTGGCATTTTGAACTAGAAACTTTAATTAGCTTGATATGATGGATTCACCAAATAATCCTGGAAACAATTTGGTGAAATGCTAAGCAATCTTCCTCCATCTCCTGTCCTTCCCATGTGTTGGAGCCACAACTCTCTGAATTGCAAACCAGGATAGTCTCTTTAACCATGCCTGCTAGGATTTTGGGGGTTGCTGTCCCAGCATCTCTGGTGGGTGCCAGATTGTGAAATACTATGTTAGAAATTCCTAGTCCTTTGTTCCATTGTGCCCACCTCCAAGAGCTAGAGTTTGCAACATGTCTTGGGAAGTGTAATCATTATACATGCCCTGTCATTCTCACCTGAACACACAGCCCCAGCGTCTTCACTGTGTCGGCAGTTGTTTGTCCCCCAGGGACTGGTGTGGCAGTCTGCCAACTTTGACTCTTCTCCTTGGCACTGCACATCATCTAGCCAGATGACACTGTTCCCCTCACCAAAGAAAGCACCACCTGGTGCCGCCAGAGCCTCCCCGCAGTCCAGCTCCCGGCATATAACAGCAACATCCAGAAGGTCCCACATGTCATCACACACTGTCCCCCACTGCCCCTCATGAAATACCTCTAGCCGGCCAGAACACTGACTTCTGCCACCCACAAGTCTCAGAGCATGGGTTTCTGGAGAGAAAAGAGAGGAATTTAAGACAGACTCTGGAAGAGCCCAAAGTATCTTAGGAAGATAAGTTTCCCACATATAAAATTCTAAAAGTAAAGGTAATGTCTCCCTTACATCAAGCTTGAATCTCCCTTATATCAAGCTTGAAGTCTAGGAATACACATCTATAAATTTAGAATATATTTTTTCCTAAGGGGAAAAAAACAATTTTCTCTAAATCATACCCTGATTTTTTGTTTGTTTTCTGCAGAAAATTCTTTTATATCATGTGGTTTGCCACTAACTCTCCTCCTTACATGCACCAAAATTTTAAGTTTACACATTATTTTTAAGGTAAATGACTTAGATCAAAATCAGTTGTGTAAAGCTGAACTTCCCTAAAGTGGAGGCAGGATTTTCCCACCTCCCCAATGATCCTTAATCCTAACCTGAAGATTGGTAACTTTCTGCATGAACAATGGAAGTGTGAATTCTAGAGATGCACTCACCCTCAGTAGGTGTAGGTGACACAAGTGGTCTTGTGGTTGTTACTGGCTCCATTTTGCCCTTCTTGAAAGTTGTGTAGGCAGGAATGGCTGTAAAAAGAGGGAAGCGTTGTTCTGTGAAGAGACAAGTGGGAAGGATTGTTGGTTTTGTTGGTTCAGAAGGCACAGAAAGCTATAAAACTCAGCCCCATATTTATTTATGTATTAATTTATTTAAAACATTTGTACAGCTGCCCATCTTAAAACCAAACTCCAGGCAGCCTATACCCAGCAATAAAAGCCATATATACAACTAAAACAAAAACAATAAAACCAAAAAAGGAAAAACAGAAAAACCTGATGCCACAACCACACATCTTCCCACTATGGCCTCACCCTATCTTAGAACCTGGGGGAAGAGCCAGGTCTTAAGTGCTTTCTGGAAGATTAAAAGGATGGGAGCCTTTCGGATCTCCAGGCGGAGGGTGTTCTATAAGGCAGGGGTGCAATGCGTGCTTCTAAGGACCCACAAGGTGACAATGCTTAAGAGGAGGGACCTGGAGCATGCTTACCCTATCTGCTCTGGTGGGATTGGCAGATACCCTCAGGGAGAGGCAGTCTCACAGATTTTTCTTGGACACAGTAGTAGTGAAGGGCTAACCTTGCATTCAGCTCCTTACACCAGGTCACACTTAGTAAAAAGCTCAACTTTGAGAGAAGATTCAGCCAATTATTTATTACTTAAGAAGTCTTAAGGTGAAGGAAAGATGAAGAGGTGAGATTCTCCACTAAAAGGGAATTCCAGGAATGTCCCCAAACTAGTGCTAATAGTGGAAAGACCCAATTATCCCCAAAATGCTTCCTTTGTAACTTAAACATTTCTTCCTGTTGCCTGAATATTGGCATATACTTGAAACAGATTTGGTAGCTACTTTAAGCAAGACTGTATAGAGGGTATCTCTGTGTGATAATCAGTTCACCTGGAACAGCCAGCTATGTGGAGAAGCAAACATTTGGACCTCTATAAAGAAAGAGTAAAAGTATTAATAGTCTCAAGAACTGACGTGCAGTTGCTCCTTCTGAAGGATATGGAGAATGTTTTCTGTGTCTAAATAGTTGGATCTGGAATAGAAGTTGGTTTTCAAGAGACATCATGAAATACCTTATTGCTTCATGGATAAATCAGTTTCCTGGTGAAATGCCAGTGCTGGAACCACCATTTCCTAATCTCAGGTGGGATTCGGGTAATGCTGAGAATTGTATTGAATCAGTGTTGAGTTGGGCAGCCTTATAAATCTAAATTATAAATAAATAAATGTGCTCCGTACTTACTCCCCATTTTATAAATAGGTTTTGATCATGACTTTGATGTTCACATGAAAACCTGAGTATAATAAATCAAGCAGAAAACAATACCCTAATCAAGGAACTACCAAAGAGAAAACCACACCACCATCAAAACTGGCAGGGCAAGCTACTGTATATAAAAAGGGAGCAAACCTCACATTCACTTGTATTGATGACATTACCTAGTTGGGTAATGAAATGTCTGCAGGCAAATAACCAGGCTCAGCACCAAGGACTCCACAATAAATTATTTCTCAACTTCTTAAACAAGCATCTTGTGAAAACAGTTGGTGGTAACAAGAGCCCAACCTGAGCAGATGGCACTGGCATCTTCCTCATGGGTGCAGACGTGTTTGCGAAAGCCAAGGTGGTGGCAGGAAAGCAGGTGCCTCTCAGTACCCACACAGTGTACTTCATTCAGCCAGATGGAACCAACTCCTTCACCAAACCAGGCTCCATGAGGTGCTGAAAGGGCTTGCCCACAATTTAGTTCTCGGCACACAACAGCAACATCACGCAGGTCCCAGTCGTCATCACACACTGTCCCCCATTCACCTTTGTAGAAAACCTCCACCCGTCCTGCACAAAGGTTAGGTCCTCCAGACAGACGTATCTGAAATGTGCCTAGAGAGAGAGAGAGAGAGAGAGAGATCCACAAGGACACACAAAGCTGTTTTCTCTCTTTGCTTTAAACAACACACTCTGAATTTTGATAAATTATCTTGATACCCACAACTCTGAAATCTGTCCTGAACTTATATAAATCAGTTTTCATCATTCAGATTTCATCAGTTATTTGCTTTACATGATTTCTCTTCAAAATCAAAACCAAAAGATTCAAACAATTATTTTTTTTAAAGAAACACATGTCATATACAAACTGGTAAAATCAGTAATACAAGTGTATACCCTGCTATACTTAAGCAACATCATGGGGAGCACAGTATACAAGTATCTGGGCCATTATGTTCTATATTTCATTACTCAAGTCAACCCATCATTTGATTAGTTCATCTTGGAAGCATTCTAAATCACCATGACAGAGTATAGCATACAATGAACTAATCTAGTTCACTCTAGCTTATCAAATCAAATCAAATCTTTATTACAGTCATAGACCAGCATACCACTCTGGTTTATATGTAAAATGCAAGACAAGGAAGTGCAACAAAAGTTGGCCTTGTTCCATGACAACAAACAAATTTGGCCTTTTAATTCCCTACTCTTCTGAGGCTTTCCCAGCTAATTTTCTGTATTACTGAAAATTCTGAGATTCCCTTGAATTTCCTGATATTGCCCTCTTGTGGCTGGCATCATTGTAATTGCATAAAGTTCCATATTTGAAGAAGGGACTTGAATATTAATATGGTGGTGGATATAGAGGATGGATTGTCAGTCTCAAATTGATTAGGGCAAGAAGTGAGATGGACAAGTTTTCCTTGGTTTTACCTGTGACGTGAAGTTTCAAGAAGATAACTGCAAAAACAAAGCAAGATAGGAATGAAAGCCGGTACTCCTTATATTCTGGTTTTTATTTAAATGAATGCAACCTTTTCAAGCCCTGGAAGTTCGGGAAGAAATTCTATTTTAGAGAGACAGAAACAGTTGTAAATAATATTTAAAGGAAAAGGTAAAGTTTATTTCTAGTCAAGCTCATCTGGTGTCTTTATTGACATACCTATGCAATTTTCTTGGCAACAGCATGGAAGTGGTGTGCCATTGTTACAGCACATTTTTTTCAACTTCTGAGCCTAGTTTACAGCCTTGGTATACAATAAATATTACCATATTAATAACTTTTCTAACTTTCAATACGTTATATCCTAGGACAGTTTATGTTTCCCTAGTTCTGATTTAATTTGTATATATTAAGCACAGCTTGCTTAACAATTGCTTATTGAATAAGCCACAGTTTCTGCTGTAAAACATACTAAGCCATAAATAGTGGTTTATGAGTCACAATGGCTGAGTTTACAACACTAAGCCATAATATTGAATTTGCTTGATTTTGCATGAAGTATGAATCCAGCCAATATTCCTTTTTCCGGCTTAGCTTGCTGTTACTAATCCTTTTTCCTGAAAGACTCTACCATTATCAGTACTTAAGTACTTGGCATTTTATTCTAAACAAGACTGTTTCCCAGGGGATTACTCCGTACAACATCATGCAGTATACTAGGGGCACATCGGAAACTTTATGGCATTGACTTCTGATAATTTCATCAGCTGATGAAATAGCTAGGACTGGGTCTACCATTGTGCAGATAAGGAACCCATCTCAGATAATGGATGTTAACAAAGTGGCGTATCCCAGGTATTATGGTTGACATTGGACCTTCTAAGGATATTTTCTGTTTTTTTGTGCATTACTATACATATTTTGACCTGCCAGTATTGAGGTTAAGATTCAACTAATACTCTGAAGCTTCTATATGTGGAAGCAGAAGCTATGCCACCTTTGCTTCAGACAGAAAACTATCCTAGGTCAGTCCTGGATCTAGTCCAGACCCATTTTTTTTCCCCTTCCTGGGGTAACTCAAAGTCTGGTTATAATAAATGTATTAGCTGCAGAACAGGTCTTTCATTCAATAGCTGCAAATCACATGGTCCTGTACAACATGTTCTTCACATTCTCCTCTTCAACATTTCAAATGTAAATTCATAGAACAATTATTTTCTTACTCATGACTCCGCAGATCTTCAAATCAAAACCCATTCAAATTTGGTAGTCTTAGTTAACCCTATTTCAATTGTTGCCACTGTCAATCACAGTTCCATCACATCAATCCTGCAAAATTAGCTGACTTAGAACTTAAAGCAGTGAACTTGAAGTATCCAACCGTGATGATGAACTCTTTCTGAAATACCAGCACAAAATCGGACCAGAGAAAAAAATAAAGGCTTTATTCTCTCAACAGATGAGAAAGATCTGCAAAAAGCCCCCCACCATTCTTTCCCAAATATGATAAGATTTAAGATGAATGGACATTAAAAAAAAAAAAAAACAGCATAATTTTCTATGTCTGGATGTTCTCTTTTATGTGTTTTTTGGAACAAATTCATAATGGATTTCTGCCCATTTTTTTGCTGTCTGAGGAGATGGCAGGAATGTCTGTTAAAATTTACCTAGGTCCCTATGAGCTCTTTACATTTTAATCCTTTCCTCTGGATTTCTGGAATCAAATATCCAGGGACTGAATATATTGATTATTATGCATGAACAACTAGATGGACACAAAATTGCTCTCTCTCTTCCATCCTCTCTTGTCATATAACATGCTTTCTAAACTGTTGCAAAATGGCTTTGAACTACAATAAGTACAGCCAAGTCTGTTAAGAGTGCTGACATCTTGTGATCTGTTTAAAAATAAACCAGAATCAATTTATTTTAACTCCCTAACTTCATAGACCTGAAGAGGCTATTGCAGAATAAATGAATGGAAAATGTAGCAGCAGAAGTCTTCAGCAGTGTTCATGTGAGGCTAGAATATGGGTGAAAGTACAGTCAGTGATGTGAAATAGGAATATTAACATATGTTTCCTGAGTGAAATGTTGATGGCACTTTTGCATTGATTCATGAGAAGGATTCCTTTCTGTGCCATTCTCTGCAGCAGTGGGTCAGACCCATGCAACCTCATCTCCACTCTTCCCCATAACTCTAATGGGAGTCACAGGCTTTCTGGTAGAAATGTTAAGCCCCCTCCCAGCGGACAAATTTGCTCCCCCAAGGAAAATAAGGGTAGCAGTCATAAAGGAGGCACTACTCACCCAGAAAGGACAAGGTGGACTGCATGGTGTGAATGGCAGGATCGGTGACTTGCCTGATTGCAAAGGCAAGTCAGAGGCAATTTTATTAAAGACAGAAGACCCAGGCAGTGAGTCAGCCAGGCTGAAAAGAAAGTAGGAAACACCCCTGCTTTGTTCTGGGTCATGTAACTTCCAATCTGCAGCCTGGGAAGAAGAGAGCCAGACCAAGGAGGAGAAATTCCCACTAGACCAAGCCTGGCCTGAGAGCCACATCTGAGACATTTCTCTAAGACTTTTCAAGAGAACCATTCTGCTACTCACATTTGTGCAGCTGTATGTAGAGCATTCTGGTGGAGGAGACCTAAGATGGATTGTTGTATTTGTCGGAGGAAAACTTTAAAACTCTTGTTGATTATGCAGCAATTATACTAAAGTGTTTAGCTTGCTTCTTTCAAACATTTTTTAAAACACAGCTGACCTGAAACACAGCTTCCAGTTAACTTATTAGGTGAATCATGGCCAGAAATACCCACAATCTTTCTGGGATGCCCTCTCACCATTTCTGCTTTCTCAAAACTTTTGCATTTTTAACAGTGGCACATAATGCTTTTTCCATGTATCTTCAACACAAGATTGCACTGAGATGTTCTTTCCTGCCATGCACCTATCTGCAGAAACGGTGTCAGATTAAGAAAATCCTTTTTCCATTGTCCCTATAATTTTAACCTTGACACCTCCCTATCTCCTGCCTAGGGTTCCTTTTTCCCCTTCTATATTGTTGAACTTTATTTTCCATAGCATTCAATTTAATCTCAATTTCCCATTGAGCTCTACAACTTTAAACCTATCTAAAATAGAAAGTAGTAGTTTTGTAGTTCTAATGTTCAAGTCTATTAATTACATTTTTTTCCGATACAATTTTTAAATATTTTTAACCCAAGTGTTTTTTTTTAATGAATTGCTTTGTTATTTGTTGCATAATGCTTGTCTCTTATTTTATAAAGTTATGCTTCTGCTAAACTGTCTTTTTATTATGGCATATACACCATCCAGGGATTCTTTGTGGATGGAAGATGATTTAATACGTACATAGATTAGATGACTCACAAGGTAGTGTACCAAGATCAAACTATATGATACAGGAGATCCATGATAAGCTCCTAATAACCAATGATAAGTTGAATGTTTTTTGTCCCCATAAGACAAAAAACTAGGAAGCAAAATGTTTTCATGGTACAAATGGAACTGAATTAAGAATTAAAATTCACCTTCCTCCTTTTTTTCATACAAATTGGTGGGAGAGGAGGCTGGGAGTTATATGACCTGCTATGTTCATGTTATCTGGTTTTCATAATCTAATTTTATAACTATTACCAGTGGGCATCTGGGAACTTCCTTAATTTGCTCATCTTTAAAATGGATAAGAATTTACATAGATGTTGGAAATTGCATCATCTCTTTGCACCTACGAGCCTTTTCACTACTATGGGAAATGGGAAGGTTCCTCAAACAGTCCCTGTGTCTGTCCCTCACTTGGCCTATTGTTACTGAAATGAGTGTCCATATTTAAGAGACAAAGGAATCTCTCTCCCCCCCAATATAATTAAAAGTAAGGTCTACATATTTCTACAAACATAATGAATGCCTGTTAATTGAGCTAAGTCGATATTCTGCATCCAAGACAAGTATATTATGAACATTTTTCTTTTTGAATGGGACCTACATGATTTAATTAGTATGTTTTAGCAGTGTGCATATGCTCAGGAGCACATTCTCTAACAAGGATTCCTGCTAAATTCAGATCTTCAAGAATAGTGAACTGATGACTTTCTCATTCAGCTGAACTAAAAAGGAGAGGTCATGTAAACTATCTTCAGGCCAAGCTCTTTTGAAGAAGGGTGGAATATGACCAAGTGGGGGGAAGCAATTTTTAAAGCAATCTATGGATTTTGGAGCTTTGGGAGATGCCTCTGCTTTATAATATAACAAATTTGGACTCTTGTTAACTCTACTGCACTAAATGAAGGCTGATGCTCAAGGGTAGCACACCAGCAGAGCATAAGCCAAAACTATCCAGAGAGAGAGGAAACAGGAATCACACCCTCCATCCCAACCAGGACAGCATGAGAATAACAAAGCAGCTGGTATGTTCTTTCACCTGGAAAAAGTAGAACAGGATGAGATTTGGGGTATAAAACAGTGGAGACATTGCCTGAAACACAAAAATATACTTTTTAAGGGAGAAAGGGTTGTTTTTTGGCCAGCCTGGAAGATCTATGCTGTTTCTAATTTGCAGGATGCAGACACCTGCACAGTGAAACTTCCAGCTATCCGAGCAATTCCAGAGTTCTGGCACAATAGCTAGTAGCCATGGCAATGCAGCACTGTATAGTTCAACATTCCAGGCTAATTTAGAACAGTGGCTGGTGATTAGAAGAAGAGATGGTTAAAGATGAGGACAATAAAATCCAGACACTAGCACTGTTGCTAGGATCTTTCAGTATTGTATTGGTGTACACAGACATGGATTTTCAGCCACAATACTAACATAAGCTTGGCCCTTTGAACCTTGTATTTTAACAGCAGGCTTCAGCTGCACGACATGTGAGGTAAGTGTTTCTGGAGAAAATGGAAAGCGTTCATACAGTATTAGGCAATCAGAGCCAAAATTGTACATCGTTCACCATTAGTAGGAATAGCTGTCAAGCCAGAGAGAACTCCTTCTAGATAAACAAAACTGCCTTGGCTTAATCTTTTCAAGTCTAAGAGAATACCCTTGATTATTCCTCAGATTTTTAGACTCTATTGCAGATAACCAAGAAAATGGCTGATGTCTCTCCAATGAAAGTTATGATTATTTTTGAAATTAATTTCTACTCCAAATGCCAACCTATAAGGGGTCTAAAAAGAAGTTTGTAGAATTAGGAGAACAATTATCACTACCATCATTATCAGGACTTCTCCCTCCATGTTGAACTACAGGGATGGAGAACTTGTGGTCCTCCAGATGTTGTTGGCCTCAAACTCTCAAATGACAAATGGTTATGGCTGAAGGGAGTTCATACATTAGGAGAGTTTCCCCACTCTTCCATTAGGAGAACATCTGTTTCCCACACACCTACCTTTGGAACCCACCCCCAAATACATTAACACACAGTCCATCACTTGTGTAGTAATAACCCTCACATTAAATAGTCTTGAAGCTCTTCCCTCCATAAACAAGTCTATTTGGAGACTCATGGTACATCTCTTCAGCCCACTTCGCTTTCTTTGGAAAAAGCCCTTTCTCACAACAAGCTTGTGATGGACCATCTTTTCTGATATTTTTCAGCCAGAAACCTTATTCACTGCTAGAAAACAAGACTTTGCTCTTTTTTCATGATAATTGCCAAATGACTGATGATTCTATGCAGTGTCTAAGGGCAAAACCTGACATGGAACATTCACAAACTACATTGCTATTAAGGCTTAAAAGAGAAAGAGAGAAAGGTGTTAAATCTTTGAACTCTCACATCTTAATTAGCTTTTCCTCAGTTTCCCTTCTGAGCCCAATTCCTATTTATCCATTAAAAATTTTTTTGCTTGATCTTTAATCAAACTATGTAAGTAAGCAACCCTCAGTAATCTCATAAACGATAGTTCTGCAACAGCAAACCTAGCTTTTATTCATATCTATCAAAAATACAGACAAGCCTTTTCAACAATATAAATAGTGAGGACCAGTGTTGTGTAGATAGTGCATCAGATTAAAACAGAATACAGATAGAATGAGAAATAACAGAAATAGAAGTTACCACAGTTGTTGCTAGCTCCCATGTGGATTTATGGAGCAATATAAATACTGGGGGAGAGGGGAGAGTTCAGAATTAATAAGTATTTTTAAAAGGCAAAATTCCCATCCGCACACAGTGGAATCCAATGAGAACAGAGCATCCAGTCAGAGCATAAAGGGAAAACCAGAACTAAACATATAGAAATACTGGGTCAGAGGACCCACTCTAGTCTACTTTTACTTGACCTTTGTCCCTTTGTCTCTGTGGTGTTTCCTAACACAGTAAATAGTTTGATGTTTTTCTCCTATGATAAAAAGTAAACTGCCAGCACTGAGGTCACTATTGCAGTGAAGGCAGAACATGGCAGTCCCAACAACTATAATTCAACTTCCAATGACTTGGCTGTCATACAGACATCACACACCTCTGTGCACTGTGAGCCTAATGACTGGGTACTTCAGGTTAAAGACGTTGCCTCCACTCCCAGTCACATTTCACTGAGAGCGTGTGTGTGTTCACACACAAACACAAACACATAAATACACACACAAAGCATTTTTCTTGATCGTACAGAATTCCCATTCCACTGTCTTCTTTTGCAATGTACATCTAATGAGATTGGAGATCTAGTTCAGCATCATGGAAGCTGGGTAGAACACTGAGTCACTCTTACTTTTCAATTCTTTTAGCTAAAACATCTGGGGGAAGATACATTCATGAACCAGAATATAGCCAAGAATTTCTAAAATCAACTTCCTGACTGGCCTAATAGAGCCCTAAATAGCTTTTTAGTCACCCCAGCTTGATTGCTAAAAAATAGCACTGTAGAACCAAGCTGAGTCTGTGCTGTTTGCCAATCTGGATGCTGAACTATATGTTGCATGCACATCAGTGCCAGACGGTTTATTAGCTCATCCTAGGAAAAATCAGCTTTTGAAGGGCTATTCAAATATGTGTGTTCTTAATCCTTTTCGGAAAAGTCTTATTCCTTGCTCCACCTACATTTCTACCCATAAAATTCCAGTCACCTGTTTATCTTCAAAAGACACTACAGTGAAGCAGGGATACACAACAGGAATTAAACACATATATTAACATGTATCATTTAAAAAAAAAATGACCTCAACAGTTTTTACTGTCTCCAAATTCTGTGAGAACTCAATTATCTGAACAATGTATATGGTATAAACTAGTTTCCATGAGAAGAACACACCTGCATGCATTGAGTCATGATTTCCAAGGATGATACCCACATGTCTTCCTATAATATTTCAGAGGTTTTATGCACATAATTTATTAACTGATCTGAATTTCAGGGCTCATGTTCAATTTCCCCAATATACCTGGCATATATTTTATGAGAATCTGTAAAAGAACTTCTGAAATCTCATCTTAAAAAAGTGTTTTCACCTGTGGTTCTTAAATCAGTTTTTGTTTTACAGGTAGTCCCCAATTTAATAGTGAGCTCCATTCCCAAGGTTTGTCCTTAAGTCGAATTTGTATGTAAGCTGGAACAGCATTATTGTATAATACTGTATGAGTAGTATTCTGCAATGAACTCGAACCATTGTATATTTAACTCAAATCATTATATATTTAACTTGAATGTTGCTACAGTAGGCTCCATTCTTAACTATGGATCATCCTTAAACCAGGCATTCTTAACCCAGGGATTGTACTACCTGTACTGAATTTATAAAATAAAAGTGAAACTTAAATTGGCTAGAGAATGTACCCACTGAATTTCTCTGTCCCTAGTTTTCATATACCCTACCCAGGCATGCAAATACAGATTTAATAAACTTGCCCATAAAATCACCACCAGCTGACAGGAGTGAGGGAATGAATGTAAAATGCATTAAGGAGCAAATGCAAGCGACTGGATCTGTCCAGGCTATTTGGCACCAAGAGACTACAGGATCAAATAGACAGCCAAGATGCTTGCTTAACAGACTTCTTTAACCCATTTAAAAAACTGGACAGCTGCTAGGAATTCACCATCCTGATCATTAACTTGCAAAGAAAATACACAATAACTTTACATGCCCTGTGCATTCAGGCTGGTTTGCAGGTGAAATATGAATTTGGCATTATCAATAGATTCCTCATTTGCACATTTTGAATGGCTATTGGAACAAAAATAACTTTCAGGTGACTGTTCAATTACATGAAGTGCCATGCATGAAGGAGTGCATGTATATTCAGAGTGTTCCAAAAGTCAAACTGCATAGGCCAATCACTATATAGCTTTCTTTTTTTTTTCAGAGAAAATGTTACTGTACTTAGGAATGTACAAGGTCATGCATCAAAACAGTACAGGTAGTCCTCACTTAATGACCATTTAATGATGGTCCAGAGTTACAACAGCCTTGGGAAAAGTGCTTTATGACCTCTGCAGTCACATGATCACAATTTATGACCTTTTTTGTGATGGTTGTTAAGTGAATCATGTGGTCGTTAAACAAATTCCGTCAAAAACCATCCATTGGGGAAGCTGGATTTGTTTAACAACAATGTGATTCACTTAACAACCCTGTGATTTGCATAACAACTGTGGTGACTCACTTAACGACCATCATAAAAAAGGTCATAAAATCAGCTCCAATTCGCTTAATGACCAAATCGCTTAGCAACCTAAATTCTGATCCCTATGTGGTTGGATAGCAAGGACTACCTGTAAGGAAGGGTTCAGGAGAAAAGGGCAACCAATTTGAACATTTAATGTAATTTATATAATAAATGGTCTATGAGGCCTGACTTTTCGTACATCCTCTGCGACTGTGTGTATATATACATACACATGCACAAATTTTCCCAATTGACAGAATTTGGTGTTCCCTTTGTATAAAATGGAGGAGTTACTTTGTCTGATTCCAAAAGAGGACACAGAGAATGAGCCTCAGTTCCTGTTCCCAATGTGAGTGAATAATCTGGGACAGAAATCCCAAATGACATAGAGTTTGATTGCCATGCCAGACTAGGGAGAAGGCACAAACAATCCTTTATCCTGATCTGCTTTGCAGCCACACTTTGTTTTCTAAGCAGAAACCATGTTAACAGTAACTACTGCTTAGGACCTGGAGATGCCTTGTTAACTAGAGTCTGTTTCTGGAACTCTGTTTTCTTTGTTCAAGGACAAAATTATTCAAAAACATGTGCTCTCATGCCTAGCAGCTTGGTGCCAAACTAGTAGACACAGTTGCTAAAGCTCTTTGCTGAACTCTTGTTGAACAGTGTAACCCAGCCATGGGCGCCCACCACTCACACTATAGCCAGTGCTCTCAAAGAGCCCAAGAGCAGCCTTGGCCACCACGGAGACCTGGGCCACCAGGAATCGGAAGCCCTGTGCACGAGCCTGTGCCTCCAGAAAGCCAAGGAGGCACCGACCCACACCAGAGCGCCGGTACCATCGGCTGACAGCCAAGCGCTTGAGCTCAGCAGTGCGTGGCTCTCCATCAAGAGGTTCCAAAGCCACACAGCCGCACACATCATCATCATCATACACAGCCACCCACAGCCCACGATGGCTTGTGCTGTAATAGGCATGCAGGTGTTTGAGGTCTGGTGAGCGCCACAGTAGAAGTTTCAGAGCCACTACAGTGAGGAGTACCGGCAGCACGAGGGCCACCACAAAGGAGTTCAGGAAGAAGCGCAGTCCACTGCTCACAACTGCCATCAGTAACAAGGCTAGTGGCCGTGTCAGCACATAAAGTATCAAGCGGTTCTCTGTATCTTTGAATCCATCCTGGTGGGAGAGAAATAGAAGAACATAAAAAACAAAGTCCTCAGAGTTCAGAGGGACCCAAAGAGCCATGATAACACCCTAAGGCAAGATGTGCTTCACATTTCCCAATCCATGCTTGTCATTCTTTGCCTGGGAACCCACAATAAAAAAAAATATATTGTGCAATTTCTGAAATAATTCAGGGAGTAAAGAAGAGAAATTAGATGAAGGTTAGGCTAGACTAAGGCACTTTGCTACCAATGCAGCTGACTTATAGAAGCCAACCAAATTGGAAGCCAACTCTGAAATAAAAACTGGCAACGATGTATCTGAGAGCTGGAAATGCCAGAGAGGTCGTCAGGCATACATAGCTCTGCCTCTAACGTGCTTCAGAGGGCCATCACACTCCGCCTGGCCCTGCTCAAGATAGTCAGTCAGCTTTACCATGGAGTGATGATATGAACTCAGACCTTCTTGGTTCTATTCTAGCATTCAAAGCCATAAGACCACATTGTCACAAACCACTTCCCACCAATTAAAATCCTGCCTCCTATTAGTTTCACGTGACAAGGAAAGGTCAAAAGCAACAGGTATGCCATCTTTTAGGAAAGCTGTTAATCTTTGCATGTTAAAAAATTCCAGAAAAGATTCTGGACAGATTTAGGGCTCTCCAGGACTAGACCAGAAAATAATATTAGACTTCTCCCATGTTTTTGATAACACTGGATCTATGAAGCTTTTGGAACCAAATACAAATATTATCAACATCTGTACTTGTTGAAGATGTCTTTTTGAGGAAAAAAAAAAAGTTTAATGTGGATCAACCCCCTGAAACTTCTCAAAAGAAAGGCAGGAGTACTGATATAGTTGGATCCATGTTTCTCCTCCACCTCACCTTCAGAAGTTCCAAAACAATGGGTGCTTCATCCTCTCTCATTTCCCTGATCAACAGTTGCTCTGGGTCCAAGGTAGGCATATTGTTAGCAACTAACACCTAAAAGGAAAGAAAGCTCAGATGTTGGCTGAACATGAACATTCAGTGGGAAAAACAATTTCTGACTAGGAGGGAACCTTTTGCTTAAATGGGGAGATAAACGCTCCCAGAAACTCCAAGACAAGACGAACAACAATCCTCTGACTCCTCCGTAAAAAGGTGCTCAAAAAAAAAAAAAAAAAAACTAAAATAGAAACTGGTAAGCAGTTAGGGAACTTTTTTTCACATCTTCGTAATCTATTCCTATTTTACATCCCCCTTCTCATATTCTCCACATATGTTTGAACTACAGCACTTTCTTTAAATGATGAGCAAATATGATAAGGTGTTAAATTTGTGATAGGTGTTCATCTGCTCAAACAGGCAGATCTCTGATAGGAAAAAAGAAACTAGAACTATTGCAAACAGTTTTCTTGTAAAAATCACAGGTAGAGACTGACTTCACACACTGGGCTAAAGCATGTTCGTTGAACACATCACAATAGGTGGATGCCCAATTACACTTTAAGCCAAAACCATATCAACTACATCGTGGTTTAGTATGATGCATGAATTCCTAAAGAATCACTGGCAAGCTTTGGGCCAGCCGCATTTCTCTGGCCTCCGTTTTCTCTTTTGTTAAACAGGGGCCCTTACTTCAAGGGATTATTCTGAAAAGCAAGACAAAAAATGATGGATTTTACTGCTTTATTGCTATTGCAAAGGCCATTTTTCCTTAGACTGAATTCACAAGTAATTTCTCACATGCAAACGAGCAATAAAGTTTTCCTCCCCGTGAGAGTAAAATTACAACATGAAAATTGGAACACCTGTATTTTGTCTAGCCCCTCCCTTTCGTAAGAGCGCTCCGGCCACGACAGCCACACCCCCTCCGCAAAAATAGAAGCGCCTAATTTAGCATACAGTAAAACCTTTCACGATCCCCCTGTGTTCCCAATGGACTCACCCAGTTTGCAGGCTACGGCTGACTTCGCCCCTGCAGAGAGGCGCATGGGATATTCCAATAACTTACATTCGCCCCTCCTCCTTTCACGAGCATAGGAGGGGTGGATAGGAAACAGCCCTGACCCAAAGGCCCGATAGTCAACCTCTCCCTTTCCAGACTCAGGGCTTCACTGAGTATGCGCATGCGCTACGTTCCCTCTTCTTCGACCCCTTTCTCTTCCTACGCAGCCCTTAGTTACTGTTGCTAAGCGGGAGCAACGTGGCCTCTCGGGTATGAGACGACCGTCGAACCTGAGTTGCAGGGCAGTCCGAGCCCTTCTTCCTTGGCCGTGTACAGGAGAAAAGGGGAAGCCCAGGAAACAGGGGATCGCTCTCCTCCCCTTTTTTGGTATTGCATAACAAAAAGCTACCTTTTCGCTCTTCATGATGAGAGTCTGAGGGTGCATAAATCCTGGCAGACAGGAATTCAACAGGTAAATCTATGCACACAAACAGATACATAAATCTGACTAACCCTTTGCCTCTCTGTCTGTATGGCAATATTAAAGACATTGTCCTTAACTCTGAGGAGCCTATGTTGTTTGCACATAGCTGGAGCAAAAGGCTTTGGGGATTAAGATGACATATGGATATTTTTTTTCTTTTTCTTTTGCATTATCATGCAAACTTCATTCTTGAGCTAACGAGCCAGCCTTGGCCTATGTAGAAAGCAAGGTGTGTCCTCTTTGTACTTGAATGGGAGAGTACCAGGAAATTCCAGAGCTACAGATTAGAACAGGGAGTTGGGGGAAAAAAAACATCCTGGGGGATGGCAGTGGCAACCCGCTTCCATATCATGCTAAGCAAACTGCCTAGATGCAGTAATACATGTCATCAGGAGTTGAGCTTGACTTAAAAATGAATTTTATTCATGTTTAACACCTTACCTTGCCCCTGTCTTGGAATAGAATTGGCTGCACATTTAAATATTGACCAGTTTATGCAATACGTTTATAGAACTCCAGGTCCAAATCCTCCTGTAGCCACAGAAATTCCCTAGGTGGCCAGGCCAATAACTCTGAGTTCAACCCACCTCACAGGATTTAGTTGTGGGGATAAAATGAAGGGCTATCCCATGTAAGCCAACTTAAGTTCTTGGAAGGTGGGATAAATAATTACAAACAAAATGTACACCAATTTGATTGATGGAGGCAGTATTTGATCTGTAAGCTGCTTTGCATCCTGCTGGCTACTGTTAATAATGTTAAATGGAATCCTGCAGAATGAAATCAATGTTGTTGTGAAAAGTAAGGTTTTAAAGCTGTTGCTGAAAATTGAAAAAGACAGATCCCAGCACCAGCCCAGTGAGTAGTTAACTACTGTACTCTGTGCTTCATTATACTGTACAATTTGCAGATTACTTGTTGAAAATATTGGTGCTTCAGAGTAGTTCATTTTCAGTATCCATTTCACATGGGACATAAGTGGTCTGAATGCACCCTCCTGTGGTCGAAGAGATACTGAATACATGAAGGCAAATACTCATTTATTGACATAGGTTTGATGTGTTAAATCTCTGTGCAGCAATTCAGCATGCCAAAATGGTAATGTGAGAAGCAACTGTGGCAGCAAGGCCACAATAAGTAAGTCCTCTTGTAAGTAAGTTACTAAACCTTACTTATATCTATGAAACTCTTCTATCACATTCACCTACAGTATGGGGACATTTAAAAGCATGCTCAGTGCCCAAATTTCATGAGGCAGAAATGTTGTCTTATATTGATTTTGAGATTAGATCTAGGGTGATGGAGGATTGGTTCTACAGATCTTCAAAGGTCTGGGCTTTTGTTCCTAGAACAGTGCATTTCCTAGTTGTCTTCTGTTTAACACCTACATGAAACCGCTGGATGATGCCTTCATAAATCTTGACCCTGGGCCAGCTGAGTGACATGGCCAAAGTCCTAGCCCAGTGCCTAGATGGGGAAGAACAGGCTCAATCCTGACAAGATCAAATGACTGGGCTTATTTGGGCCCCCTGCTTCTGGGGATATTCCATCACTAACTCTCAGTGGGTTTGCACTTTGCCATTTGAGATTGGTGTGCAATCTGGGGGTCTTCTCAGAAGGCATCTCCTGCTCAAAGATCAGGTGGCAGCTGTGGCTAAAAGGGCCTCTGCACAGGTATACCTAGTGTACCAGTTGTGCCCTTTCCTGGACTGGGACACCGTTCAGACTCATGCACTGGTCACCTCACAATTGGGATTACGGTAATGCACTCTACATGAGTCTGCCCTTGAAGACCATCCTGAAGCTACAGCTGGTCCAGAATCTGGCAGCATGGGCAATGTTGGGAATATTGCATTACACTCATATGATCCCACTGATTCATGAGCTGCACTGGTTACCAGTCAGCTTCCGGGAGCAATTCAAAGTGCTGGTTCTCGCCTTTAAAGTTGTTCACGGCATAAGGCCTGCTCTCTCAGGGGCCATCTATCTTCAGTTGTTTCTCCCTGCCTGGTATGATCAGGCAGAGTGGGTGTCCTTTGGCCCTTCCATTAAACCAGTGTTTCTTAAAGTGTGGTCCTATGACCCCTGGAAGTCCCCCAAGATTCTCTCAGGGATCCACAAAACCAAAATTGTTTGCCAGCCTATGTTGAAAAATAATACAATATTAAAATCCCATCAAACAATGGCAGCATTAACAAGCAAGTATAGTGAACACACAATCTAACATTAGTCAATAGAAAAGTGTAATAGTTACACAGGCTTAAGTCCCTGTAATCTTAATTCTTTGGAACTAAATATTGCATAAAATGGCAAACTTTGGAACTATTTCTTGAACTGAATGAACTGCTAGTGGTCCTTATGTTCATTTCCTTGTTCTCCAAATCATTTCTGGCTAAACGTAAAGGGTTGAGCTAAAGAACTGTGTAAAACTTCAATTTATGTAGATAAAAAGGTGCTTCACAAGAACGGCTTGAGATTTCATATGCTGTCCATATCAACATAGGATTCTTGCTATTAATACCTACCACGTGTTCACAGAACATGTTCACAGAACATGTTTAACACACAAATGCAAAATGTTTCAGGCTGCTAATTAGGAGTACAAAGATCACATGAGGCCTGTACAAACGATATAGCCATTTTGCTTAAAATAGTAGATGTTTCAGGTCAAGCCCAGCTCCAGAGACACCTCCCAATTGCTTTCTGGCTCAATTTAAAGCAACAGTCTCCAGCTTGGGGCCCTGTTACTCATTGCCCAACAAAACCAGCTACCTGAGTACTACACAGGCATGCAGGCTGGACAAGAGGAAGCAATCAAGGAGCAGCAGCATGACAGCTCGCCTTACTGAATGCAGTAGTTCTCCTAGCAAACAGTGGGGACTTGTCAGCCAGACTGTGCAGTTGGCATCCCAGAGTATCCATTGCAGAGAGCATCACCTCCAGGAATCCCCATCTTTTCTGCAGTCTGTGGCACACACTGCTTCTATAGTGGCACTGGGGTCTCTTGGCACAGCAGTGGGGAGGAGAGGCTTGGCCAGAGATAATGGGCTGGCCCCCATTATCCAAGGAAGGTGTAGGAACTGAGGAAAGAAGGCCAGATTTGGCTGCCCCACTGTGAGAGTCTCTGCTAGGCAAGGAGTAGGAAAAGCAGATAGCAAGCAAGCAAGATCCCTTTGCTGGGGGGAGGGAGGGAAGGAGAGTTGATCTTGCCTGGCAAGGAGAAAAAAAGGAAAGCGAATGAGAAAAAGACTGAATGAAAGGAAGATCACTCTGTTCAGCAAAGAAAAAGAAAAAAGTAGGATCAGGGCAGCTCTTGTTAGATGGGGTTTTCTGGATTTTATTGTCTTGGATACAAAAGATACATTTTTCAGGAACAATAAAATCTAGGAAACCACAGTATTCTTAATATACTTAGTTTTAATGCATGAAAAAGATTCAGTATTGCTGCCCTCATGCTAATGAACTAGTCCTCATGTGACACTTGTGAGATCCCTCATTTAAGGTGTGAGCATAAACCTTTAACATCCTAAATGTCTAACGGTGTGTCTGTCTCTGGGCTTGCCTCTTTCCTTTTTGAAGCTGTTAAATTCTGCAGGAGAGGTGCTTCTGAAGATGCATTGTTAAAGCCTTGTTTCTCTGGTGGAAGAGCCAGCCATCTTCTGCATTGCAGTGCACTACCTCCAAAGTTCTGTTGGGTTTCTTCTCTACATTTAAAAACATCTGTAAAGAAACCACCCTTTTTTTCCCAAGCATTTCATTGTTAGTTGATTTTAGTACTAATTTTAATGTATGTATCTGCTGTAAGTTTTGAGCATTAGTTTAGTTAGAAAGGCTGAATTTAAATTGAATACTTGACTAGGTTTTCACAGCTAAGTTGTAAACAAAATAAATTAGTTTGATGTGTAAGCCCAATTACTAAGGCAAATTCCTTGTTCATTTAGCTCAGTTCTGGCTATATATTTCCTAATATCCCATGGTTAAGTAAGCTATGGTTTACTGAAGTAACTCAATTGCCTGGGTTTGCCAAGCCTTAAACTAGTGGCATGACAATAATCTGAACCACAAACTAGCTATACACGTTTTAGCCTGGCATGCTTTGCAAACTTAATGCTGTCTACCCAAGGGTGGGCATCCCACAGACTGCATGTGCTCTCACTCCTTTGCAGCTACTGGGGATAGGACCAAAACTATGGAGTTTTTTTTTTTTAAAGGGGGGGCTTGATGGGGTTTTAAGAGCCACAATGGTGTCATAAGCCTTAAGATTAACACAATAAGCCTTAACACAAACATAACATCCTTTAAAAACCCAATTCCCCCAAATAGCGTAGCTTAAGGAAAAAAATGAGACTGATCATTTTGGCTTTGCCCACTCTGCAGATGTCATGACATCAGCTGTACCACCTGCAGCCCTATAGCAAGGCAGGAAAAGGTACAGCCCCAAATCAAAAAAAAAAAAAAAGGTCTCTTACACTGACTACCAGTAGCTCTTCAAAGTTTTATCTGCCCTATTTTCTAAGGATTGAACCTGGGACCCAGCCACATACCCAACACTGAACTATGGCCCTTTCTTCTTAACTTAATCTGTGGAACTTTCTTCCTCTAGAATGTCAAGAGACTTGTTAACCTGTTGAATTGTTCAAGTCTGTTACTGGGACCTCACTTTTGTTGGCTCTATCTATGCTAAACTTTAGTGGTAGCTATATATTCAATATGTATCTGAATGAAGCAGTATGAAACTGTGTGAGAAAACCAAGAGCAGCACCACTATCTAAGCTGAATGCTTTATTCTTGTTCCCTTCAAAGCTCCTCACCTTAAAAGGGCCTTAAGTTAGTAGCTGAGAGCACAACCTGCATCTCAGGTTGGACGAATGGCAGAAATCCTGAAGAGCCACTGCCAATCAACGTAGTCAGTACTAACCCACATTCTTTATATTTTCTTACCCCAACTCAGTAACAAATATTTAAAAAATGACCAAGAAAAAGCTAAGTACTGTAGAGCCTTGACTGAGTTGTGAGAAATATTTCACATACTGCAAAAATGTGATCCAGCCTATATATGATGATAC